GCACACGGTACACTGCACACACAAGGCACACCATGCACACGGTACACTGCACACACAAGGCACACCACGCACGTGGTACACCATGCACACGGTACACTGCACAGACAAGGCACACCATGCACACGAGGCACACCATGCACATGTGGCACAACACACATGCTTCGTACATAGCACACACGTGGCACAGAGCACACATGGCACACCACACACATGTGGCACACCACACACACAGTACACTGCACACACAAGGCACACCACGCACATGTGGTACACCACGCACACGTTGTACACTGCACACACATGGCACACTACACACATGTGGCACACCACGCACACGGTACACTGCACACACAAGGCACACCACACACACGGTACACTGCACACACAAGGCACACCACGCACGTGGTACACCATGCACACGGTACACTACACAGACAAGGCACACCATGCACACGAGGCACACCATGCACATGTGGCACAACACACATGCTTCGTACACTGCACACATGTGGCACAGAGCACACATGGCACACCACACACATGTGGCACACCACACACACGTTGTACACTGCACACACATGGCACACCACACACACGGTACACTACACACAAGGCACACCACGCACATGTGGCACACCACACACATGTCGTACACTGTACACACGTGGCACACCACGCACATGTGGCACACCACATGCACGTACACTGCACACACAAGGCACACCATGCATAGTGGTACACCATGCACACGGTACATTGCACGCACATGGCACACCACACACATGTGGTACACCATGCACACAGTACACTGCACACGTATGGCACACCATGCACACAGTACACTGCACAGAAAAGGCACACCACGCACATGTGGCACACCATGCACATGTCGTACATTGCACACACGAGGCACACCACGCACACATGGCACACCACGCACACGGTACACTGCACACACATGGCACACCACACACACGGTACACTGCACACACATGGCACACCACACACATGCGACACACCAGACATGTGGTACACTGCACACACATGGCACACCACGCACACGGTACACTGCACACACATGGCACACCACGCACACGTGGCACACCACGCACATGTCATACACTGCACACACAAGGCACACCACGCACATGTGGCACACCACGCACACAGTACACTGCACAGACATGGCACACCACGCACACGTCATACACTGCACACACAAGGCACACCACGCACACGAGGCACACCACACACACGTGGCACACCACACACAGACAAACCAGGAAGGAAGGCTGGCAGCTCTACAAGGGCACAGTCTTGGCCCGGGCCCCTCAGGTGAGATGAGCATGCTGGGGAGCCGGGCCTCTTGAACCAACACGTAACACAGAGTATGTAACACACGGCGTGCACCAGGCATTGGTGTGCGGCCTGAGTGACACCCAGCAGTCACACTCACCCGGCCTGCATCAGCACTCCACGGTCAGGGCTCGGTCTCTTAGAGAAACTGGCCCTCTGGTCCTGCCAGCTGGGCGTGGATGACCGAGGGGTGGGCACAGAGCTCTGCCAGCCCCTCGCAGGAAGGCATGCTGGGCCTGTGCACGTAGAGCGGGTGTGGTTGATTGT